CCCCCCACCACACACACACACACACACACACACACACACACACACACACACACACATCCTCCTAATGGCCCAGAAAGCTGACATCGGTGGTGGAAGCTGGTACAGCTTCAAGCTGAGATTCTGCTGGGAATCGGAACTTCCTTACTCTCCATCACCACATCCCATGCCCCTAGGACCTTCATTTGAGGCCCACTCTCATGCATACATATGCTTCCTGTGAGCAAGGCAAGCACCCAAGAGCTTTATAAGTAGTGGACTGGCCAATCTGTGCGAATGCTTCTGTTATTACCACCTTAGAGAAGAAGCAAGCTGGAAGTGCATTCTTGATAAATGCCAGGAACCTCATCACCTCCCTGGCTGACCACGGGCTTTTCACCATCCTCTAGCCCTGTCCGACAGCTTGTAAAAAGTAATGTTAACTACATAGACCAGCAGGCCCTATCTGCCGGCCCCAGGCACCAACACAACCTTAGGTTTTTCCCTGGAGACTGCCAGAAACCTCTTGTCCTCCATCACAGGAACATTTACAGATGATGGGAAAGATAAAGACAAAAAAACGCTTGAGCAGTGAGGGACCGCATATGGTCCACAAACCAGTTAAATGCTTACATCCTCTAACCCACATAGTGTATCTTCTGCGCCCTCAAGATCCCAGATTGGAAGCAAATATCCAGCAAAATGTCCCCTTAACTAGCTGGCCTCGTTCTCCCCAATTCCCAGAGGACTCTTTACTCCACCTGCAGGACTTCGAGAATGTCTTCCTAGCAAGCATTGCTCAGCCAGGTGTTGCATGCACTCAGCACTCGGTTAACAGAAACCTGCACAGGAAATATTGAAGGCAACGGCAGTGTCTAACACAGAGCCTTGCACAGCTTGCCTACACCAACTGACTCATGAATAAGAATAAATAAACCAGGCGGAAAGCAATTGATTGGCCAGCCTGGGGCAGAACACCCAGCTCCACTCAGGGCCGAAGAGAAAAAAAAAAAATCTTAACTTACCTCCTCCAATACCGCCCGTGCAGCATCCCGGTCTTGGAACACCGCAGAGTTGAGCAGATCTGGCAGCAGTGGGTGCAGATGAGGCTCAGGGGCCGGCAGGACGCATGCGCAGTCCACTTGCACCTGCCTGTCTCCCTGCAGCTCCCACATGCGCTGCCACAGCAAACCCTGAGAGTCGGCCTGGAACTCGGCTAACTGCGGGTGCGCCACCTCCTGGCACGAGCCCAGAAGCTGCAGCAAGGCGCTCCGAGTGTCCGGGTGGTCGCAAGGGTCGCGCAGCAGGAAGCCATGCTGGGCTTCACCGTCCTGGTCGCCGGGACCGTAGCCTAGCAGCTTACTCCTCCGGCACCGCTGCCAAGGGCCCCGGCACAGCTGCAGCAGCAGACGCTGATGCATTCGGGCCGCCTGCACCCGGGGCCCGCAGCCTGAGCCCGGAGGCAATGGCACGCACAGCGCGTAGCTGCGCCCCGGGGGCCCGAGCAGCGCTGCCAGGCGTGGGTCCGGGTGGCCCGCCGTGTCCCCTAGGACGAAGTGAGTCAGGGAGCAATCCGGCATCTCCACCGCGAAGCGCCGCGGCCGAGCCATGGTCCCAGCGCAGGCCCGGTGCCGCGCGCACAGCCGCCGCGACAGTCGCCCAAGCCACAGTGGGGCTCGAGGGCGGCTCACTAAGGCCATGGGTGTCCCGGGCCGCGCCCTCAGCCACGCCTCGGAAACGAAACTGCGGGTGACCACAGACCCGGGATCGGTGAGAAACGAAAGCGAAGGCGGCTGCCGGCGGGACCTCGGGTGTGGCCGCGCTACTCTCCGCCTGGGCTTCTCCGCCTCCCGCCCCAGCCGCGCTTTTAACCGCCGGCGGCGGTTAGGAAATTCTCCCGGCCCTGGGACTCCAGCGCGTTGCTATCGCCGCTGTGGTCCCCTGGCAACGCCTGCCCTTGAGCATTCCAGCCTCTCCGGAGCCATCAGCTTTGTCTGGCTTGGTTCTGTAGGGGCAGGTGCTCCCAGTCCGAGTTTTAAACTTCTTCCAGGCTACTTAATTCCTGACCGGTGAGGACTGGAAAAGGTGGAGACTGAGGCACAAAGGGATCTCCTCTCAGAGAACACACACACACACACACACACACACACACACACACACACACACACGCACACACACAGCTTCATGACCCACCAGTACTCAGGCACCTGACTCCAGAGACCTTCACGTAGGTGCCTAGCGGTATCTGACCTCAGTTTACCGTGTAGTACCCACTTAGCCAGTCCTGCAACCAGTTTGGGCAGCTTTTCAGCTTTGCAAACGGACTCCTCCAGTGGGCTCCGTACTTGCATGGAATCCTCTTGCAAACTGGGATGTGTGGCCAGGTTGGGCCAGGTTGAAACATTGAATGATTGCCAATTAAAATCTCCTGCATTGATGTCTGGTGTTTTGAAATTTTTGTTT